GGTGCGTGGGTGTGTTCTGGGTGGGGTGGGGCTGTGCTGCTGCCTCTGCTGAGCCCGCGGGGCTGGAGGAAAGGCCAGGCGGGCAGTGTCGCTGGGGGAGGGCGGGAGCTGGCAGCGCCCCCTCCAGTCTCCTCTCCTCGCAGGCCAGGATTTAGGGCAGGGTCTGCGGCCAGCAGGGGGCGCCGGAGGACCGGCNGACCCCGACCCACCTCCCCGCGCGGCTCCCCGCCCAGACCCTGGGCCACAGAGGGTGCAGAGCGGGCCCGGGAGCCCGGAGCTGGGCGAGCAGCGGGAGCTGGGCCCGCACCTCCCGGGCACCCGCCCCCCGCGCAGGCTCTCACATTTCGACGCTGACTCTCGGGCCAAGTGAGCTTCTGGACGAGGCTCCGACGGGATCCGGGCGTCAGCTCGTCACCTATGGGACCCGGGTCTGGCCGGTCTCCACCTTTCAGTAGCCTGCCAGCCTCAAAAGAAGGCGTCTGTTACCCTCCGAGGGCCTTGCCCGGACCCCTCCGTATTCCCGGGAAGGCCTCTGCAGTCCCCGGGCTTTTCGCCTGCCTCGCACCCCTACACGTCCTTCGCCCACACTTGGTTCTCAGCTTCGGGCCCCTCGCACCCGCCCACGGGCCCCAAGCCCCTCTGTCCCCGCCAGCCCTGCCTCAGCCGAGCACCCCCTTCCTTCTCTCCTCTTCCAGTCTCCTCCCTCACCGCACACAGCCCCGCACCTGGCAGGGGGGCCCCAGGGGCAGGGCCTCCCTCACCCCACACAGCCCCGCACCCGGCAGGGGGGCCCCAGGGGCAGGGCCTCCCTCACCCCACACAGCCCCGCACCCGGCAGGGGGGCCCCAGGGGCAGGGCCTCCCTCACCGCACACAGCCCCGCACCTGGCAGGGGGGCCCCAGGGGCAGGGCCTCCCTCACCCCACACAGCCCTGCACCCGGCAGGGGGGCCCCAGGGGCAGGGCCTCCCTCACCGCACACACCCCTGCTCTACGGAACCCCGTCTCCCCGCCGTGGGCGCCCAGCCCCGAACACCAGCCTCTAACCAGGCCCGACTTCTTCCCAGAGTCCCCGACGGTAGTAACTGCGGGAGCAGAGAGCGGGACCTCAGCGAGGGTGAGGTCAGCGGGGTCAGGGGTCAAAGGGCAAAGCCTGAGTCCCCCCCCCAGCGGTCCACAGCCGGGCAACCTGTTGCTAGGTAACCAGGTCTCCGGTCGCCAACGACCCGGGCCTGCAGCCATTTTCCCAGGAGTCTCTCAGGCACCCACTCTCCGTGGGCCCCGAAAAGCAGGCAGAAGGAGAAGCTAGAGCCCAGCCGCCCGGGAGCCACCTGTGCCCCCCCCCGCCCCAACC